TTATTGAAAGTGAAATGTCTATTGTATCTGAGTTTAAGTTATGTGTCCCATCTTCTATGAGGGACAAAATTGTCTTTCTTGTGACTCAAGTTTTTCATGAATAAAAGTCAAGTGGGTTGGCTAGGAGAGTGACTTTTGAACATCCTCTCTTCTAGTCTGGCTGGACACTCTTCTCCTCTCCTTCTTCTTCTTCTTCTTTCTCTTTTCTTTCTTCTTTCTTCTTCTCTACTTTGACCTAGAAACAACTAGGGTTTATTCACACTTGCCATTAGGTAGATCCACAACTTCCCATGTTTGATTTTTAATTAAGGCTTCCATTTCCTCCAGCATAGCTGTCTTCCACTCAGGTTTGGAGAGAGCCTCACAAACAATCCTAGGTATAGACACAAAATCAAGAAAGGAAAGGAATGCCCAGTAGGAGGGAGATAAACYACTATAGGGAATATGTTGTGAGATACAATGGGTTGTGCACTTTCTCTTCCCCGTCTGAAGTGCAATAGGAAGGTCTAGGTTATCTACAATGGTGTTAGGTATAGGGGTAGTATCAATAGGAGCTGAAACATTAGAGGGAGCAAGAGGCATACCTGGGCTTGTGTTAGCTGAATCTAGAATCTCAGATGAGTTGATAGGAAGTGATGTGGGTTCCTCTACTGTGGACTCAACCTCCCTGTGTTGCCATAGGCATTATTCTATAAAAAACTGAGAAATAGGACATAATGGAGCAATCAAAGTAGATGGAACAACTAGGTTAAACACTAGAGCAGGTAAAGGAGTTGGAACAAGAAGTGTAGTTTGCTCATTTCCTCCCTCAAAACACTCTCCCTAAGAAAGACTCCTTGAAAAGAAAGGTGTAGACTAAATAAAAGTGACATCCATGGTAACATATCGACTCCCTAACGTAGGATCATAACAACAATACCCCTTTTGATTCTTTGCATACCCCTAATGGATTATGCCAAAGCATAGCCTGACCCACTAACTTTGACTCATTACTCTTGTTGTTGATGTGTTGACTAGGAAGCACATCAAGAAGGTAGACTCCATTCACTTCATGACCATTCCCAATTGTCCTCTTTGACTCTAGATCCTACAAAACACAATGGTCAGGAGGAAAATTATTGAACAATTAAATTTTTTTGCCAAATTACTTATAGATAAATGATTAGTATTCAATCCAGAAACATGTAGTATAGAAGGCAGGGTACTGGTATCAGTTATTTTGTTGGACCCCTTCCTAGTGGGAACATGGGAGCCATTAGTTGTAGAGACTCTATCTCTACTAGAGAAAAGGTAGTATGAAGAGAAGATGGTGGAAATATTGGTCTTATGTTCTGTGGCTCCTACCCCCTAGGTCTATAATTTAGGGAGGTTCCCCCTTACTTGTAGTGGGGGCTTGTAGTGGCATATGAATTACCTGTATGTGCAAATGAAGTATAATAACTAGCTCCTAGGCCACTTGAACCTTGCTRTCCACCTAGTGAAGAACTAGAATTAGTTGTATCTCTCTGACTAAGAAACTACCCTTATCTTTCCAACTCGCCCTAACTGCAGCTGTTACAACTGAATCTAAAGAAGTTGTGGTAGGTGGCCTAGATAAGTCACTAGTCACTGCCATATTAGCATTTGCTTTCTTATTTTTAAGATGACTTAGTATAAGATGTGAGTGAAGCTTCCAACAAGTATCTCTGGTATGCTTAGACTTCTTATAGTAGTCATAGATCAAGTCCTTCTTGTCCTCCTTCCTACCATTAGTACCACCCTTATCCCCACCAGACTTAGGTTTCAATGTGCTAACCATAGCAGACTACTCAATGTTTAAGTTCCTCATCATGACTTCCTCCTACTCTCTTCTCCAAACACAAAGGCATATGCCTAAGAGAGAGAGAGAGAGAGAGAGAGAGAGAGAGTTACACTATCATGGAAAAGAACATGTTGTTGTGCAATATCATACTTTGGGTTGAGTCCTTTTAGAAACCCAAACACTCTATGTTCTCTACTAGCTTCTAGTAAGTAGTTGCATCTTTACTACTTTCCCAAGCCATACTTTCCAACTGATCTATCTCCTACAGTTTTGAGGGCTAAAAAATAAACTGCAATAGATATATCTCCCTGCCTAGTAGCAACCACTTGATTCCTCAACTAGTAGGCCCTAGCAACATTCTTACTCTGCGAGTGCTTTGCAACTCCATCCCAAATGTCCTTAGTTGTGTTAGTCTATAGGAAGTTCTTGCTTACATGGGGTAATATAGAATTGCATAGTTAAGTCATCACCATGTAATTCTCCTATATGCACCAGGAAAAGTTAGTCTTAAGTTTCTTTTCTTCACTGTTGGCATACCCCAATTTTTTATGAGCACCAATCGCCATTTTGGCTGATTGTGACCACTCTAAATATTTTTTACCATCCAGCTTAACTGTAGTGATGGTCCCTGCCCCGAAAGGGTCACTAGCACCTCCTCCTCCTAGTCCCATTTCACTAGTAGACTAGTACTCATTCCACTGCCCTCCATAGTTCTCAAAACAGTTCAGAAAATCAATTGTAGACGAGGAAATATATCAATTCCCTTTAGAGGCCTCAACCTAGTACCCAAAAACCTTCACCTAGAAAGATTCTTGTCTCTGTGGGAGCCAGTAGAAACAGGATAAAAAGCTGCCACTCCCTCCAGAGACCTCAAAAAACTCCAGAACTTGAACTGCCCCTTCAGAAAACACCTAGAAGTCTAAAAAATCCTGAGCACCCTTCCTAGGTCAAAAATAAAGAGTCCTACTGCAATCAGGACTCTTCCTCCTCCAGTTGTTCTTGATTTCAATGATCAACCCAAGATCTGACACAGGGTTCTAGATCCACCAAAAAAATCCAAGACTTGGCACTTTTGAAGTCTTCAATCATCTCTCTAACACACCATGCAGTCGTCTGATCTTGGGCTGCATGATGAAAGACTCAAAAAATCCCAGAAGTGGCTCTTATACCAAGTAGAAAAAAAGAAAACAGTAATTTGATTTGATAACAGTGAAAAAAAGGAAAGAAAGAAAGAGTTCTTGATGAGAAGAGAAGAAGAGATGGGGAAAAGCCGATAATGATTTGGCCGCCCCACTCATAAAACAGTCCCAAAAAGACAACATAAACTAATGGGCCTTGGGCCCAGTAACACCAACTAATGGCCCAATAACACTAACTAATGAAAATAAACAAGAAAAACATAAGAAGCTGGGAGTGGAACTATGTAAATGTCTATGGTTCTTCTCCATGTATGGAGAGGATTTCTTATCCTCTTGCACCCTGGCTGTACAGTTTCATACTAGTTTAATATGAATTTTCTTTTAGTATTAAAAAAGAACATTGGTGTTGAAATTGGAGTTTTCTGTGCTGGTTATCATGGCCTATTTGTCAACCCTGACAAAAAATGAACATAGTCTAATTTTTTTGTTATGAGGTAGCAACCCAAGTGGCTATACAATCAATTGAATCTTCAAATTGGATACAGTTTCTTGATTTTGAACTCAGTTACTTGTGGTGTTTATTTGGGTTCTCCTGAATCATGGTGGATTTTTCATATAGCTTGCCTATTGTCTGAAATTTGTGTTTGTTATTTTTTTTGATAAATTTTCTATATTTTTTATTTAAGTCTATCTTGTCCCAGATCAATTAGATACCTGCATACCTACTATATTGATATCTATTCTTGTACATGGGTAATGGGAAAATGGTATCTCAACCTGTCAGGATATGCATGTTTTCTTGATTCGTAATCATGTATGTGCTTAGGTTTCAAATTCTTAAAGTGGTGGTGTTTACAGATCTCCAAATTATAATTATAATTTGTTTTGTTTTTTGGGTAGAACCTTGCTAACAGATCACTGGTTGATGATGTGCTGAGGAAAGTTAATGGGTTAAAACCCATTGCAGATGAACTCCATGTGCCTCTAGCTCAACTCGCAATTGCTTGGTGTGCATCTAATCCTAATGTCTCCTCAGTTATTACCGGTGCTACAAAGGAGTCCCAAGTAAGTTTGACACCATCTTTTTTATATTTTTTCATTAGTCTTATGAGTTCTGAGTTTTATGTTTCTTATGCTTACCTCAACCTCCCAATGAGTTTATCATGTTTTCTTTTTGACGAGTAACTGAAAGAGATTTTATTAGAAATTCAGAGAAAATGTAACAATACAAAACAGCCCGTGGGTAGGGTAGCAATTACTACCCAGCCCCATTAAGAAATGGATAAAAAGAGAAACAATAAACGTATTATAAACAGGCCCAATACAGCGGACTTCTAGAGACCCCTGGCTTTGCCAAACTATCGGCCAAACCATTTGCATGTCTAGGCACCAAGATGAGCTTTATATTTCTGTTCTGTACCAAACATTTGATCTGTCTTAGTTCATTTCTATAGATCCACACTGCTTTTTCATCTTTTTCAGCCACCCAGTTACAGCCTTGGAATCATATTCAATAATCAAGTTGTACAAATCCATTTCTTTAGCCTGTGGTAGACCCTGGAGTACTTGCAGCTCAGCTCTTGTAGAGTTCCTCATACCAATCAGACCAGAGAATAATGCAATGATGTTACCTTCCTTGTCTCTAAAGACCCCTCTCATTCCTGATGTATCAGGATTTCCACACTACTTCCATCTAAATTTAGTTTAATATATTCCTCCTCGAGCAGGGTCCCTTGAGTTTATCATTTTGTTTATCTCTATTTCCCCCTTCCTTTCTCCACTAAGAAATAAGAGGAAACAACTCAAGAACCTGGCACATTTCATCTCTAACTTTGTAGATGTGATTTGGGCTCTGGAAACATGATATTTGGGTTTTGTGGAAAGGTGAACTATTATGTTTCTTTGTTTTTCTTTTTCCTTTTTTCTCCCGGGGGGCTATTCTGATATTGGTGTGGTATATTTAGGTTCCATAACCTCGGTAGACATGATAAAAGAAAATACTTATAGTAGTATGGGGCTCAGGTTGATGACTAGCTTGGATTTTGATGGAGAGTAGTGGTGAGGATTTGGAAGAATGACCTTGGGCCATTTGTCATCATAATATCAGTTCTTAAGCTTTAGCAACTGGGGTGGAAGTGTCATTCGGATGATCAGCCAACATTTTAGTTGAGCCTAGGAGTATTAAGTTGTAATGGCTGGTTCTAAATTCGCCATCAATACTCTATAGTGCATGTTTTCTTGTAATGTAATTTTTTTGTGCCTAAAGCTTGAGGTATTCTTGGTTTAGTCTTCATCACTAGGAAGACTTGACATTTTTTATGCATATTTCTCTCATTTTCATTTTGTCAAATTTTTGTGTTATAGCTTGAAGAAGGGTGTATTGTTATATTCATGGTCTCACTTGGAATGGTCCTCTTGTTACAGAGTCACTGGGACCATCTCCAAGGTCTTTGCATGCCCTATGCATGTAATCGTGCTGAGACCTACCAATTTTACCTTTGTGGATGACATTATCAACTCTTTGTCTTTAAATAGAACTTTATTCAGCTTTTGATTCCTATTGTTTAATTTATTCTGGTTTTGAAATATGAGCAATTGTATACTTTCAATAATAACCTTTTGTTAAAATGATACAAGGAAAAACCTTTTTTCATCCATGTCTCAGGCAAGGGAAATGACCTGAAGATGAGCCAGATATTTTAAACACTTCAAGTTAGTACAATCTGGGGAGAGGCATTGGTTAGGACAACTATGTATTGTCTAGGATACTAATATTGAAATATGGTTATTTAATTTCAGAGAACTAAGGATATTTGAATACTAAATTGATGTGTGATAAAAGCCACATTTTTCCCACAAATGAAGTCCTGTATCTCTGATAAACTTTCTTTAATCATATCATTTTAAATTGTAGAGTATAATAAAGCTCTTTTTTTATAGGTTAGAGTATAAATGTATAATAGAACTTTATGACAACATTAGCAGAAATTTTCTCATTCATTTTCTTATTGCATTAATTTGTGCCATGTACAATTTAATAAACTGGGGTAGTTTATATTTATCCACTTCTATCTTCCACATTCACCTTCCCCTTGCCTTCCCTTCCTCTTTCTTCTTCAACATGATCAAGCCACTTTTGATTTCATTATCAAATAACAGTCCTGAGATATCACCAGCCAAAGTATGGGTGATTTCATTGACAAACAATGTGTCTGTTGGCATCATTCTTTATCTCCAAGGGTGCAGTTTTTTTTTGATAAATCTTTTAAGGATAAAATTTTTTGGTATCTGTTGAGAGTTTTCTCTTCAATAATAACCCACAACTATAACGTGCCAATCAAATGCTTGAATTTTAATGTTACAGTTGCCAGATTTATAGCAAAAATAGCAAAAGAAAAAATGTTACCATTTATACATCTTGTTAGGGTTTGATCCTCCACATATATGTTGGATTGAAATTTCTGTCTCTTATTTGCCATCTATGAGCCTATAGCTGGGTTACCAAATTCCATTTCTAGGCCATCTCTGATCTCACCCATAAACTTGGAGTTCCTTTATTCTTCTCTTTTTGTTTTCCCCAGTTTCATTGTCTCTTCAACTGATTTTCTTCTCTCATTAACCAGATTACATGCCCTACAATCTTTCAATCAATGCTATCTTTGCTGCTAGTAATTGTTAATATTGATTCTTGGTCTTGTTTAATTCATGACGATGAAAAACAGAGACTAGTTCTATGTGTGTGTTTTTATCTATTAAAGTGCCAATGTTCTCGTATGTTATGTATGATGAATATAAACACAAGAATATTCTTGAGGGTATTTAATCTGGTTTTATGATTGCTGAAAACTTTCCAAGAACCCCCCCCCCCCCAATCCTTTTCCCTTTTTCTCTTGGCGGTGTTGGGATGGGAAATAGGGCTGGGAATGGGTTAAGACCGAGGGGCTGGTATTGGTGAGTAGGGAAAAGTAGGACTTGTAATTCAGAACTAGAGCAGTTTTAGGAGAAAATCAAGGAAATTTCTTAGCAGTTTCCTAATTTTTAGGTTTCGTTGAGTCAAGGATACAATGAGGGTCCTCTCATCATAACAGCAATTAGGTGCCCTCTTGAACTTCCATGCATCTAGTCAAGAAGATATAGACCCACTTTTTTCTAGGTCCCATGGTAATCAATACTAACACCAAAACCAGTCATCATCATCATCCAAGCCTTATTCCAATCATATGGGGTCGGCTACATGAATCCGTAACAAAACAATTCTTCTTACGTATTACACAATACAGAGGGATTAAGGGGTGGGGACAGAGCAGGGTTCACGTGAGGTCCACTGCAATGACCTTACCACAGGGAGCCTGCAGTTATGTGGGTTATTGGTAAAGTCAGTACGACTGGAAGATCCAAATTATCTAAAGGAGGGAAAGGTACTAGTAGAAATCCAAAAAAAACAACCACAGATCAGATGGCTAAAATTATATATATATATATATATATATATATATATAGATAGATAGATAGATAGATAGCTGAGTGACCATCTCAGCTACTGGGTTACTGGTAAAGTCAGTACGGAAGATCCAAATTATAAATGTCTGATATGGAAGGTGGTCCTTATCTAAAGGAGGGAAAGGTACTAGTAGATTAAAATCCTGTCTATACATGGGGGACATGGCCACTTAAATTCCTTAAATTGTAGCTATGATAAGGGCACCCTCATTGTAGCATGGCTCTTTTAGGTTTTTAACTTGTATTTTGATAACATTTAAATTTGCAATTTCCTTACCTAAAGTAGCCTGTTTACTAGGGGGCCGTTTGGCAAGTCTTTTTGGGAAGATCTTCTAGTAGCTCTGATAGTCAAAAGACACATTGAGCTTTTGCATTAAGATCTGAGTAGCCTGAAGCCCGTTTGGTTAAGGTGTGTCTTTTTGCATGAAGACGAATAGAAAAAAATACAAAAGCCCCATTTAGAGCTTCTCGAAAATCGCCCGTTTTGGTCTTCTTGCGTCTTTCGACGCATCGGCTTTTGGCGGCTAGATCTACTGCAAACCAAACGAGAAAAGACCAGATCGCGGTCTACCAGGCTTGTAAGTAGTCGATAGACCGCAAGAAAAGACGTGCCAAACAGGGCCTAGGTTAGTTTGTCTCTTGCAACTTGCCACAAGCCGATTTGTGCATTGGTTTGAACTGAACTAGTTTTCAAGTTGAACTGGAAACTAGCAATTTAGGTAACTTTTTTTTCTCAGAAAAAAAGAAAAGAAAACCATTTAGATAACTTTGTCTACAAGGCTCAACTGTTTTTTCTCAGTTTTGTATTTTGCCCTTCTACAATAAACAATTGAGAGCAAGATAATCTATATCTATCTATACTACTATTAATAGTACAAATGAGATTGTGGAACTTTCCTTCTTGGTTAAAACACCCATACTTTTGAATTTGGTACCTCTTTGATTGTGATGGCAGAAAATGTAAATTTTTATTAATGGTCATAAAATATAATTTGAACTTCTCATCTCATTCATTTCTCTTTCATTAAATCTTATATTTAAGGTATTAACTCACATTTACTCTCATTAAATCCTATGCTTAAGTTTTTCTTCTCGCCAATAAATTCTATTAATTAAATTTATATCCGATACTTTTAACCATATGAAACCCATAATTTTTTAAAACTGATCTAAAAATGAAACTAATCTTCCATCCAGGTGGCAGGTAAGCAATTCAACCATTTGGGTCAATTAACAATTTCATAGTTAAATAATTAATTTTTAAAATAAAGAATTACAAAAATTTAAAAAAATGTAGAAAATTTGGGCATGTCTACAATATTTTATATTATTTGTATTAAAGAAAAATAATTGTGATAAATAAGAATTATTTTTATTGATGATGGAAATGAAATATAAAATTTAAAACCAACAAAAAAAAATGAAATTGCTTTCCTGTTTGGTGGTGGGTTGGCAATTTAAACTTTCAGGTTAAATGTGTCAATCTTTGATGTCATAATTAAATAATAAAAATTAAAAAAGATAAAAACTCAATTGAAAAAACTATGGAAATTTTGTAGTAAACATTTTGTCACATCTCTATTATTATATATGCATCATATTAAAGCAAAATCTGTATGATAGATAAGAATTATCGTTATACATAAAAATATTACTATCATCATTATCATATAATATTACTGTGTGCAAAAGATATGCACATTTGCTAGTAAGGTCAAATTTGTTATAGTTCGAAGATACAATAAACAAACTTTTTCATGTAGACATCTCAGCCCTGACCCAACACAACCAATGGCTTAAATAAGTAAAATACCACCAATTGAGTGGTTGCTCAGTTGGTACGCTGGTGTGTTCCAGTAGAGACATGGATTCAATTCCCACAACCATCGATTTTGGGAGAGGGGTTATTGGAATGGTCCTGCACTATTCACACAGCCCCTATAGGGGATTCAGGTGTATCACCAAATACCAAAAAAAAAAAAAACATGTAAAATACCCATAGTTCATCAGCATTACAAGTATACCCCTATAACCTCCAACACGCTGAAAGAAAAACCAAACACAACTAAATACAATATATTTCTCTACATCCATGGCTGAGCACATCTTTCTGAAGCTTTTGCTGTCACAAAGATTCAATTCTGGTATGGAATCAATGGTGGTAGGGATAAACTTCTAGAATATGTTTATTATCTAAAGAAATGTGCAATGGTAGCCTTCATCAATTTTGTAGATAGTTTGCCTCTAGTACATTTGATAGTTCTTAGTAAATCTTTAATGGTAGATTTAATGCATTGACTCTATACTCTATTGTTGATACTATGATCCTTGATCAACATTTTCTATTTGTTGAAAGTTGTACTTCATTACTAAATGCAGATTCAAGAAAACATGAAAGCTATTGATGTGATTCCATTGCTGACACCTGAAATCATGGAAAAAATTGAGGCGGTTGTTCAAACTAAGCCAAAGCGTCAAGAATCATACAGGTGAAGGTAAGGACATGGACCAGCCACTTTGCATACTTCGCCAGTATGTCCAAGCCACAAAGGTTCCAAATTGCCGAGAATGAGAATTGGAGTGGTGGAGTGATGCTTCTGTTGATTGTGTTGTGTTTGGGAATTTTGGTTATTCAAGTCTGTGTCATTAGTCCTCTCTTCAGGAGGAAGGACTGTACCGAGTCTTACTTGATTCACCATAGAGGAGATTTTACCATGTCATATTCTTTCAACCATGTAATGATGATAGTATATAATACGTTTCAAAATTTTCTACAAGTTTTTTTTTTTTTTTTATATCTCTATGTTTATAAATCTATAAAAATTATTCTTATTTGTCACACTTATTGTGGTTCATTAATATAGAGACATGTTCAAATGTTTTCTACATAGTTTATATATTTTTGTGTTTTTATCTTTTTAAAATTTTTAATATTTAATTATAACTTCACTAGTTGACACATTTGATCTGAAATGTTGAATTGATCTACCATCAAACAAGAAAAGAAGTTCACTTTTAGGTTGGTATTGAATTTTGTGTTTTATTTATATCATTAATAAAAATTTATTTTTTTTGTATAGTTTTTTAATATGATTAATATAAAATGTTAGGGATGTATCCAAATGTTTTCTACAGAGTTTATATTTTCTTCATGTTTTTTGTATTTTTATCTTTGTATTTTTATTGTATAATTATGAAATCAATAGTTGACACATATGACCCGAAAGGTTGAATTATTGACCTGCCATTAGGAAAACAATTTCATTTTCATGTTGATTTTAAATTTCATATTTTATTTCCAACATCAATAAAGCAATTTTTAATTATCACAATTATTTTTTCTTTAATATGATTAATATTAAAACACAAATTTCATTTTTTTTTGTTTTTATATTTTTCCATTCTTATTTAATTATGATATCAAATGTTGACAAATTTGATTCAAAAGGTTGAATTGTTAATCCACCATCAAAAAATAATTTTTATTTTTGGATTGCTTTTAAATTTATATTTCATTCTAACATCTATATTTTTTATTTATTTATATTTTAAAAGTTTTTATTTTATTATGGCATTATGGATTAACACATTTGGGTTGCTTACTTTTATTATGGCATTATTTTTGAATGGTTGAATTGCTTACTTGCTCCCATGATGGAAAAGTGGTTCCATTTTGGGTATATTTAAAAAATATATATGTATTTTATATTGTTAAAAGTATTGGATATTGATCTAATTGATAGATTTTTTTTTGGTATTTTGTGACAATAATATCTTAAATATGGTATTCAATAAAAGAATAGGAGTTAATACCCTAAGATAAGACTTAATGAAAGGGAATTAAATGAGGAAAAACGTAGTAGCTAAAATTACATTTTGTGCCCTCACAATTAGAGAGTGGCCAAATTAAAAAATATGGGTATCCTAGTCATGTAAAGGATTCAATGAATGTTAATGGAAGTTAATACTTTAAATATGAGAGGGGTTTGAATGAGGAGAAAAGTGGTTTTTCAAATTATATTTCTGTCCACAAAATTAGACAATGACCAAATTAAAAAACTAGGGTAATTTAGTTAAACAAAAGTTTCACACCATTGTTCACACTTTTAATAATGGTATAAATAAGCATTAAAGGAAAAATGTAAAATGACACTTTTGTTATAGTTTGTTTTCCAATTATTGAACAAAAGAAGTACTTTTGTGTCTTTTTGTCAAATAAGTAGTACTAAATAAAGATGTAAAATAACAAATTTGTCTTTGATTGTTTTCTAATTTAAACTTTAGCGAGGGGTATTTGTTGTCCAATGAAAATTCCAAAAGCTAGTGACACTATTCACACTTTTATTTCAATTTTCAGCCAACGGTTGAGGATTTTTATTGTGTGATGCTATCTAAATTCCTGAGGAGAGCTTCATTATTATTTTTAGAGTATAATGTGGATATGCGGGGTGCTCACAATGTAGTATAGTGGGCCGTGTTGTGCCAGCACATGGGACCTTCGCAGTAGGGGTGTCAATTAGACTGGATTTGGTCCGATCCAATCCAGTCCAATGCGAGTCCATTATCAATGGATCAAATCCAATCCAGTCCAATGAATATTTTGGACCATTTTGGACCAGTCCAATTCAATGTCTTGACCATCCAATCTGTTCAAATTCGTTTTGATTTAAATTGGTTTCAACCCAAACCTGGTCCATTGACACCTATATTCTTATCTTATATCAATGGACCAGATATTGGCTTAATCTAACCCAATTTAGTATAAATTTATTATGGACAGACCGGGTCCAATCCAATCAAATAAATATTTTGGACCAGATTGGTCCAATCCAATATGTCTTGTTGGTCCATCCAATCCGTCCAAATTGATTTTTGACTGGACGGGGTCTAATCCAATGCCGGTCCATTGACACCCTTACTTGGCAGGTCGTGCCTATTTGGTATGAATCCCCCAAGAGGGAAGCCCAGCACAGCCCAAGGCCCAAGCCGTAGTAGTCCTGGGCCGGTCCGGCCCATGGGCCTGTTCTTTTTTGCTTTTTGCTCAGTAAAAATGACAGAAGATTTGAAAAGAATAATAAAAAATTAACAAAACACTTAATAAAATAGACAACAAATTGAGAAGAAAAATCTAAAAACTTTATATCATTGGGCTTTTTGCACAAAAAATGACCAAGTTTGGTCATTTAGCAGTTTGGGTTACGTTTTGAAACTAATAGCAAAAATAGCGAGTGGGAGATATTTTAGTTTTTCTAGACAAAAATGCCCTTAAATAAATGGCTGGCCTATGACACCTATTTTGCTTTATCATTCTTCCTCTCTTAGGTCTTTTGTTTCTCCCTCTTCTCACCATATTCATAAGACTTTCTCCTCTATTTTTTTTTCTCTTTTGATAGAGTTCATCCTTTCTCAATACTCGGTAAAACTTATTGGCTTTAGTTGGGTTATGATTTACAAATCAAGCAAGACAACAAGAGCGAGTTTTGACCAGGTGACTCAGATCCGAGTTACAACTCCACCTCACCCTCTTTAGCAAAATCTAAATGTGAATCTATGTTTTTTTTTAGGAATCTGTGTAGAAAAACTGAATGTGGAAACATTAGTCAAGTAGGCAATAACTCAAATTGTGTGTATTTATCATTTGTTAAAATTAACAGAAGACATGTAAAGGATGTCATAGAAAGGATGATAAAATTGGGTGTCTTTGAGAATTAGGAATTTTGTTGAATATATACTACTTCATAGCCAGAGGACAAACTAACCTCTCTCGCATTATATTTGTACATATAGCCAAGGTTTTTAAAATTGGATCGAACAGTGAACCATTCTGGGACCGGTTTCTAGGTTAAATGATTCAACCATCCGGTTCACACGGATGATCCGTTCTAACTTAAAAAAATAAAAAATAGCTAAAAAATGTTGTTCAGGTCGACAGTTTGATGGTTTGACCGCCCGGGTCAGTGAGTTACTAACCAAATCAATGGTTTTTGGCAAAAAACGGTTTTAGGGTGAAATGGAACCGGTTACATGACCAGTTCCCAGGTTTTCCGGTCCGACTATCCAGTCTGGTCCAATTTTAAAAACACAGCATACAATTTGGGATTAATCCTGCCAATAGAAGGCCCTCAAGATTAAACTGCCCCTCAAAATTATATTAAAGAAATGAAAAATCTGATTTAGAACCCATATCTTTTGGCATATTTTGCCTTTTTTAATAGCTATTAAAGGCATTAGAAATGTAAGAAGATATGATTGAAGGAGGGCATTAAAATTGAAAATTGCTCAAAGAAATGACTAAACGAGTCACTAAATCTATAATTCAGTACACAACAATGCATGCTTATTCAACTATTGTAATAATAAGAATGAACAGGACATTGTTGACATGGCTGAATTCCGGCTTCAAATTTTAGCCAAGTTGAATATGCTAGGAGAATTGCCCACCCGGGTTCAGGAGAAGATACATAAAAAACTTTTATTTTAGGGGGAGTTTTCATGCTCCAGATTTTCTTTATCACATTCTATGTCCTAGTTGGATTGCTATTCATTTAGAAAGCCTCATTATAGGCTGTTTTAATAGAGAATTGCCCACTCGGGTTGGGGCCCCAGATTAACATATCCTCCCAAGGGATCAATGGAATAAAAGAGGGTTTTTAATTTTCTCCCAAGTCGTATTAGGGACTAAACTTTTAACCAAATCATCCTTCTAGATTTTCCTTTCTGGTTTAATGACCTCACTCACCTGAAGATTTAGGTTGTTAATCGAGCCATTATCTACTAGATTGTACAATGGTTTCTCATCTGCCCACCTATCACTCCAAAACTTTGTAGACTTTCCGTTACCTATAACCCAACCAGTCCCTCTCTCAAGCAACTCTCTATTGGAGAGATACCCCTCCAAGCCCAAGACTTTTCTTTTCTCAGATATTTTCATGCTTACAACTTTAGTCCACAAATTTTCCTTATCATTCAAAATTTTCCACCCCAATCAGGATACAAACCCGATTCCAGTTAACTAAGTGAATGGGGCTTTTTCTCCTTATTATTGTCCCACAATATATCCCTTTGTTTCCTATCCAATTCTTGGAGAACACCCTTAGGGATCTTAAATGATCTCATAATATAGTGAGGAATCATGTTCGTGGAAGCCTCAATAAGGATGATTTTACCAGCTAAGGAAAGAGAATTACTCTTCCACCCCGCTAGCTTATCAAAGACTAATCTTTAAGAAATTTGAAAGTATCCCTTCCATATTTATTATTAAAAGGCGGAGCACCCAAATAAAGACAATTATTTGTCTCGAATGGAATTCTTAGCATTTTTGCCATGATTTTTGATGCGGCACGATCTGGGTATTCCTATCTGGCTGCTGACTGACTCCTTCTTGGCAACGAACGACACCTGAGAAGAGAAAGATGAAGGATTCCCGGGGGATTTGCCTAGCGGGAATACTCCGAAGCTTAAATTAGAACGCTGTGAGGAAGAAAAGAGGGTAAAAGGCTAAGAGTGTAGGTCACACTAGATCACTATGTCTCGAGATTAGCTCGTGAGCAAGTAAGAGTCCAAGTTCAGATCTAATTCAAGAGAGAGTCATCCGCTTAAAGGGCTTTTATAGGGGCGTTCTTATCAAATGAGGCGTAACCGCCACTGGGCTTCTGTCGCAGCCGCTACTTGTCAGGGCTGCGCAGGTGATCGTTACAATGTACTACCCGCTTAGATGAGTGACACGTCTTTGAAGGGACAGGCATGCCACCATCTGTCGAGAGACGTGGGGCAGACT